TTAATGAGAAACTATTTGTTCTGTAAACCTTCATCTAAAGTACAATAAAAAATATACATATAATAAAAAGGGATAAAAAAAGTTTCATAATAAATTAGCATATCTAAACCTACTGATACTAGATAAAAACAAATGAAAATACAGTTTTTAAAGCTATAAATTAATAAATTGTTAATATACAAGGAAAAAATAAAATAGGGAAAAGAGTAATAAATGTTTCTGGCATAATAACGTTAACATAAAGAAAAACAAATTGATCTCTACACCTTCGTTACATAACATAAGAATTTCAGATGGGTTACAAATTTGTTTTTTAACTAAGGAAAAGAAAATAGAATATTCTAATAATTCAAGCAACTGACCAAATTATTATAGAAAGTGTCTACAAAATGAAGAATACTGAAATAAAGATAAAAAGAAAACCAGCAGAATGAAAAGAGGGAGGAGGGATTTTGCAACTGGAATGCTAGATAAAAGTTGTTTGTCTCCAATATACAGGGATGGATGTAGGTCGATAACCAGTCCTCAACAGACAAACCATCACAAAACATGACCTTAATCAAAAGCAGGCAGAGTTGCACCCATTTAACACTTAACCATGTGCCAGATACTATTCCAAATACTTCATATACACTAATAATCTCATACAACAACCCCCACTATGAAGTAGGTACTATTTTTCTTCTTATGTAACACACAAGGAAACTAAGACCCAGAGTAACATCCCAATGTGACACAGCTAAATGATAGCAGAGGATTTAAATCCCAGCAGTCTGACTCCAGAGTCCATGCTCTCACTCACTAAGCTATGTGCTTCCTTCCTCTATACAACAAAAATTCATGGACCTTTCATTCTACAAATCTAAGTTTACTAGATATAAATTACTATAAGACAGAAACATGAATAAGAATGGTTTTGATAAGAGCATTTTGAGGATTCAGAGGACCATGATACTATTTTCAGTAAAGGGGATAAGAAAAGTCTTTGTGGAAAAAGTGATCTCTAAATTGGACCTGGAAGGATATGAAACACAGAGACAGAAAATGGGAGACGAAAGCATTCCATGCTGAAGGAATAGAATGACCAAAGGCATTAAGATAGGAAAGCCCTGGCAAATCAAATACTTGAGTTGAAAAGAATGATATGTAAGAGAGAAGTAAATAAAAAATGATTCAGAGGAGTAGGGAGTTTAAACTTAATTCAGTACGGAAAGTAGGGAAGTAACAAAGTTACTTACAGCTGTTATATGGCAACTGGATATAAGAATTGGGCAGAAAAGAGATTGAAATGGAAAGAAATGTCAGAGGTTAATTCACTAGTCTAGGCATGGTAAGGAATGTCTCAAGTAGAGGGGCCAACAGAAATAGAGAAAAAGGAATGGATATGTGGCACACAGTAGTTACTAAAATTTCAATTAAATTAGTGAACTAACAGGGTCAGAGAGAACAAGATTTAATATACTAAAATGTAATGACCACAAGGGGAAGAGGC